TAACCAATTGAGATACTTAGTCCGTGATTTATGCTATAAACAAAATTAAAATACAGTATATTGGATTACGATGATGAATTAATTGAATTTTCAAAAATGGAACAATGATATTTAATATCCGATCGAACTTACAATACGTTTATTTTGTAAATGTATTATCGCAGATTTTGGAGGAAACATGTACTGGGTATATACTAACCGCAATTCAGTTCAATTCAACAGGTATAAATTTCGCATTGCAAATTGGCATTATTTAATATTTCAGTGTTTATTACTATGATTTATTTTAAAGTAGCAATTATTAATTCATCCAGCAATGTAATATTGTTGTTGGTACAGTCAGAATCAACAGTAATGTTTTGCCTAATTTAAAACAAGATATTTTGACAGGTTCAAATTTTTATTTATATAATAATTACAAAATAAGAATAGTTATTACATACCATATTTACAAACTAATTCATGATATTGCTCATGTCGTTTAAATTAAGCTTGCTTAGAAAATTTTAAAAGTACCTAGATACGTTCAAATACCTTGTGACATTAACATTAAAATATTTTTCAAATAATGATAATTTGTGTTAAACATATTTCAGTTACAATTTGTTTGAGACGAAGCTTATTTTTAATACAATACAATTAAAAATAGACGTATAACATATAGCTGTACCACCGACTATGTACTGAAGAACAAAGAAAACAGAATTTCAATCTTAATTCATTAAAATAAGTATTAATTTTTACTTATTTAAATACCGCCTCCAGTGCTAAATTTTAATGTTAATGCCTAAAAACAAATGAAACACGAGAGGTCCTAGTTTCGTGTCCCGGTGTATTAATAAGTCAATTGTCAGACTAGACACAGTAATGTGTTCGCTCTATGCTGCACATACAGAAATTAGATGTCACTCACACTCAAATTAAGTACAACTCATGAGGGCATTATAGAAATTTTATTGACAGTAAACAATATAAACCAAGAACTCAATTTATTCCCAGATAGATTTACGATGCTAGCGTTAAATTAATTTGAAAATTAAAAACTACCAATAACGCCGGTGTTAATGCTATAAATTAATTTTCACTTGTCAACTCGTTAAAATCTTGCCTTTAATGTGTTTTGGACACGGCCGCTGCTAGTTAATTTTCTGTAGAAGTTCTTGCCGCTGCAAAGTGCAAACCGCCTCAGGCACACTCCTTCGTAAACTTGTTTTGATTTGGTGAGTTTAAATAAAAATGAACCCAGATAAAATAATATTAGAATAGAAAACCAGGTAATTTCTGGTTACTTAATAAAAAGTTCATTTTTTGAAACGCATTATGTATATTTAGTAAACATAATATACTTAGTAACGCTTAATAACTTAATTTCTACATCTTTGATATAGATAATCCACACCTTCCTACTTATCATTTTTGATAACAGTACGATTAATTTTCTCAGTGTACGCATTTTATTGCGATACAAATCACCTCCATAGTTTTTTTAAGATTACTAACGTTACGTTTGTATTTTATTTGTGTACCATATAAATAAAAAAAAAAACAAATATTTATTTACTTAATTACTCTTAAACATAGTCCAGATTATTTAATTTCAATTATTTTCTTTATACTAATCAGATGCTTTCGGGTTATTACATTTTAATTAAGGCTAGTTAAAAGCGACGTATACAAAATAACAAGTGTAACTCTATTCACTAGCATCCGATTTCAATCAAACAAAGCCTTCATGTTGCCGCGAAACTGTTAATATACAGACAAAATATTAATATTGGTTTGGGTTTTTGGGGGGGAAAAAATTTTTTGGGAATAAAAAAAAAAATAATAATGCATTATGAAATAATGCACATAATACGCATATATTTAACGTACTTATTCATTATAAAATATATCAATACAATGAATAGACTTACATTTGCTGTTAATATTACAATAAATACCACATCTCATAGAAAAAAATGGTACCCGAAAGAATTACATTTGAAAGCGTTCAAGGCATTTTTTGCATTTCAATGTTGAAAGCAAGAAGCTACCGACTTTCCGATGTTATTATTGGAGTTCGCTTTGTTGACAACCCTGCGATGCACACCGGGCCCATACGATCCCGGCCAGCTCATCCGTACCATTGTACTTCTCTACTTATGAGGATTATCCTCGCGTAATTACCTGTTTTGCGAAACTACATAATTACATACAAAAACTGCAACTTTAACATCTAAGCAACCGACAAACAATACCAACGCTACTGTAGACGATAGAGCCATTGTACGCTTTACGCAAACAATAATGAATATTCCTATAAATATAGGCGATTGTTATTTGTGGCAAAAAATGTTCACTCGATTCAAATTGGACGTAATCGATCACCGAAATAAATTAATTATATGTTCACCAGCTTTCACCGTGAAAAGCGGGTAAAACAACAGTTTCGTGTTACAGATTCACAGTATTGTTTTATATGATAGTTTCATAAAGGATTCGTTATGAGTTCATTATTAAACGAATTTTGACGGGCGCGTTGGTGTAATCGCTACAATATATGTCCAATAATCAACGGGTCGTGGGTACGATAACCACCGGGTTAAATATGTTTCCAATCAATTTACAACTTTTCTGAAACATGTTTGTTGTTTGGAAATGAGGTATTTGAGTATCGAAATTCCGTCCGGGTCCGTTCACAGATGAAAATTTAAATGGGGCGTTAATATTAATCGCATTTCGGTTCATGTCTGTGGATTTTCGAATTTTCAAAACCATATAGCGGGGGTATATACACCTAGTAACATATGAACCCCAGGCTACATCATAAAAACTCAGTATTTACATTGTAGACTATTATATATGTCTAAAGCGTTTCTATTTTCTTTTTATAGAAACAATTAAATTGTTTTTAACGCAATAAGCTCTATCTACTTAGAGAATATGAAAGCCGTTTTTAATTTATGTATATGCATATATGATACGAGTACATTTCCAGATAAATGTTCAATTGATTTTATTATTATCGAGAAAGTAATTGTGAAATGCGAAAAACAATTACTTGTTACTCTCTTAATGGCACTCGACGTAAAAGCCGCTTAGTTTAACGAGCGTTTGAATAATGTGTACAAAGAATGAAAAAATTGAAGCACTACTTCGCTTTATATCAAAAAAGATGTTAGCGGTTAGAAACAATAGTTCTTTATTTCTTACATTTGTTGCGACTATTTGAGATTGTGTGTACTTTTTCTTATACTTTGTGATTGGGTTTTGAGAGCCCTTCAAAAACCACAAGTGACTATCCGGTACTTGAGGGTTGAATTCGCGAGTAGTTATTACTGTGAGAAAATTGGTAATATTCAGTTTACGCAGCGCGAATGGAATTTGAATTATTATTTGTATAAGTTTAAAAACTGTAATCGGCACATGATGACAATATATAAATTAAAACCGATTATACATTCAAATTATAATCGATTTTTAGTTTAACTATATTTAATAGCTTAAAATACAATAGAACAACACATTTTATTTATATTTCAGAACCAAGTTTTATTCTTTTATTGTTAGAATAGTTGTGCCGTGATCCATTAAAATTAAAATAAAAAGTACCAGCTAGGTCAAAAAATAAATTAACGTACTTCCTTCATCTTTGTTCACTCCGTTGAAATTAGACTTTTTGTTAAAATTGAGAAGGACAGAAGAGCATGAGGTTCATGTGATGGTAGGTGAAATACCCCAGCTATTAACATCTCACAAGATGTGCTGTCGTCCTATGTTAACTTTGGACATTCGGAAATCCACAGACTGGAACCAAAACGCCATTAAAATTAACAGTTGTTTTTTTATCTACAGACTGTGGTTCGTGACACGAACGGAATCTCGATAATCCTACCACCAATTTTACATCCAGATTTCCAGACAAAGGCCAACATGTTTTAGAAAAAATATACATTGATTAGGAAGAAGTTGGACGTGGTGGAGATCGCAACCACGACCCGTCGATTAGTTATACGTAGCTATCACTACTACCATAATTTGTGTATATGTAAAATGTAAAGACATACATTATTTTAAGGTCTCAGATTAACAATGAATCAGTCTATAACTTTGTTTTTTGTTTAATGTGATAAAGAAAACGCATAAAAATTGTGTGTCGTATGTAAAAACAAAGTTAGCGTATATTTTAAATAAAAAATAAAAATGTTCAATTTTAATCAGGAGCAACATCTAACATAAATCTAGTTATCCTTCCACCGAGCTTCATCGATTTGTGCATTATATGCCCTTGAGCTATGCTCTATACAATATTATGCTCCCTGCAAAATTTAATACCGTCTAGGAGGATTACAAGTTAATGGAAATATTTCATTACTCTTTCTACCGGTGGATACTTTGAACGAGAGTAAGATTTAAATAAAACACTTTAACAGTTTAAAACGCGATATGTTTTTAAACCGTTAGTGTTTTATTTAAATGTGTACTACTCGCGTAAACTATAAACGGGAGTAAGTTGTCAAAGTTATTGATATTGGTACATTTCACATTTGCTATTGATATTGAAAGTGGAAGAATGAAATATTGATTCTTTATCTATGTTGTCTGGACACGACAACGTTTAGATAGAACTAAGACATAACATAACATTTGAATGTAATACAAAGTTGTGTACTTCAAGCAAGATCTTGTTTGTGAAGATCGGAAAAGTATTTAATCCAAAGACAATTTCTATTTATACAATTTCTTGGACTGTAATGAAGTAATTAACAAGGCTTGCGTAGGCGACTGAATGATTTGTACTTTAACAATTGTTGTTTGAGTTAAAGCAAAAGCTGCAAATGAGATAAAATATATCTTAACGGTTGAACGATGTTTGTTGATCCGTAACCATGGAAAACATCTTAAACATCGCGAATAAAATATTATTTCGCTTTTTAAGCCGTTAAAAAGTATTTCAATTATTTAATTGTGTAGATGGCTAATTAAAATATCTTTTTATTTTCAGGGTTGCATTCGCCATGCACGCTGTTCCAACATCTTCAAGTAAGTTATTTATTTGTATATGAACTACCTCGGTAGTTTATGTATATGTGTATAGGTGTCATATAGGCAGGGTTTTCCATATTCAAAATATTTAGATGACTAATTAAGAAAGAAAGCTGTACCTATCATAGAATACCGATTTGAAATTGACTATTTCGTATGAGTACGATTTTATTAATAGGTAAGTATACCTGCTTCTGCCTGATGAACCCAGGTTCCTCGCACTTAATCTACAGCCAACCACGGAAATGGTCAGTGAAAAAAATCTATACCCTATTGGGTCGTTAGGCCTTGTCATTTTAAATATTTCAAATAGTTAATCAACTCTACCAGAAACCTTAATATAAAGTAACTTATTTCAGAAATAGTTCTTGTATTTTTAAAATTCTGGTTCTCCAATCACATTCGGCGTTTAAAAAGAAAATATATTTTTTAAATTACAAACATATTATAAATAATTAATGTAACAAATACTACGCTAATTAAACTAAGGTTTTTTTATTGTATTATATATCATTTAAAAGATTCTGCTTCTGAAGCCTAAATATACGGGAGGTAAGCATTTATCTCGTTGCGCCAGCGTTTGCAATGTAAGCGAACAAAAAAAAACCGGTTATTTACATCATCGCATTAAAAACCTCCAAGTTAATCCGCGTTTTTCTAAAATATCATGCATATATTCTACATATATAAAACTTCCTTTTAAATCATTCTATTCTTATAAAAACGCTTCAGAATCCATAGCGTAATTTTGAGATTTGAGCATATATAGGGCATAGATAGCGTCAGCGACACTGCAAAAACGGTTCAAGAAACCAAACAATATGTATCATAAAATGATTTCTACTTAAATGATCTTTAAAAATGTCTACAACAGATTTTTTTACACGTAGGCAAAAAGATAAGATTAGCTCGCAAGAACAAAGGGACGCAAACGACATCATGGGCAACAGCTATAGATGAACTGAGGTGGTAGATTGCAAATTTAATTTTGATGCCCAAAATAACTTTTCCACGCGACGATAACAAAAATTAATGACCTGAGCGAGACTCAAACCCACACATCGTACCGTGCTCTACACAACTGTTATTTTGCGTTAGCATATTAGTACCTCGTTATTGATTTCACATGCGAGATAAACAACCGAACACGTTACCGTGGCAACGGCAGCTAATTACTAGGAATCGATGAGATGACGTGTCGTCGCCAATTTAGTAACGACATGGTATTCCCACGCGTGGGGGCGCATCTGCCTCCGTTCCCACCCCATCATCCCCCGCCACCAGATAACGATACCAGCCAATTAAGTGCATCATATGTGATTAATAATATCAAATGAATTGCTTGTTTTTTAACGTTCAACAATGCTAAGTGTTTTAAAATTAGTGATACACTATAGTTCGCTATTTTATTTTGTTGAGCTTATAGGATTTTGCGTGTTTTTATTTGTTTCATTTCATTGGCCGACTTTTTTTACATACGAGAAACTGTAGTTTAGGCGGATAGTAAACATTTAAATAAAACTATGATAACGGTGTCAATGTCGGAATATTTTAGCTAAACTTATTAATTAATTATTTTAGCTACAGCCCGACGCTTCGGGTGCTTTGCAGCATCTGTGGTTTTTATTTAAATACATATAAGAATTTGGTCAGACTTGAGTGCACACTAAATATGTCTTAACTGGTTGGTTTGGAACCCACTTTGTGCTGAGCGCTAAGCGAACCATTGAGTTTAAGAGGTGGTCATTAAAAACTCAAAAACGAAATATGTTTTTCGTGCATCTTCAACCAATTGATCTATCGTGTACTAAATAATAATATAGCTGTTCTACATTCAACGCATCCCGTAGTTATTACCCTGATCATTTTAACCCAACGAAGTGTCACGCGAGGCCGGTCGCAAGCAACAGGTGACGGGTCGCACGGTCGCCGGGCTTTTTGAGTGAAATAAGGATGTTAATCATCATAGCGAAGATAAAAACAGTATTGGATACATTTTCATATTGTTCGAAATACTCTGAGGAACGATATATTGAGAGATTTCTATGTGCCAAACGTTCTTTTGCCATACGAAAGTGTTTAGACCAAATTTGATTACCTACTTACAATAAAACCGGTTCTTGCTCGTTAATAAATAGATCGATAAAAAATAGACATTACTATCGCGAACATTTTTTAGTATTATTAAAAGTAAAACTATTCTTTTATACATAGTTTTTATTATCTTGAACCGTTTACGCAGCGCACGCGTCGGAAACACTCAAAAATCGTCAAATCTAAATTTTTCCGTGTTTTTCCACATTGCCCTTTCCTATCGAACGCGGCCAGATTTTTTATAGCCTTCCACGATGAATGGTCCAACACAAAAAGAATTTTCAATTAGCGCGTGCAAACAAACAAGCTCTTCAGTTATATATTCGTATAAATGATAATAATAGAGTATAGATATTTTCGTTGTATTTGAGTTCTTGTCTAGTTAGGTAGGTTAGTACATTCAACTACAGATCATCAGCTCTAAGTTATCAGTAATTTGGTTGCGATAGATTTTAAAGCTCTACCGTACGGCGGGGTGGGATTAAAGGTCTTAAAACTATGAGAAGCTGTTTGTAAATCATGCATTTACAAACACATGTAGGGCAACAGGTTTGAAGTATTTTTCTGACGGAAAATTATTAAATTAAGCTTTAAAAAATAGTTTTTAACAACGTATCGACGATTCGGCTGCTTCGCAGTGGCAATTCTCACGGATGGACGTTTGAAACCGTTAAAAGACATATTAATTAACAAAACACCAAACAGTAACGGTTTTTAACGCGATTTATATTAGTTGAACTTATTTGAAAATTATTTTAACTTAAGGACGTTTCGGATGCTTTGCAGCAGTCGTGGTCACGGGGACACTAAAGATGGAGGGTGTCTCTGACGTCAAAGTAAAATAATAGTTGTCTTAATAAAACCTCGTTGCGAATAATCACTAATTCATCTCTATTAAGTAGTCACATTCCCATAGCCCACATTGGCTTGTATTCTATTGTCTATAGGCAGAAAATTCGTGATTTTTTTTCCATCTCCTACATTCAACACGCTTCCTGTTACGCAAGTGTAGGCATTCATTCACCTTTTATTCGGTGTCTTATTGAATCGAAGTGCCTTTGTGCCTTCTCGACTGGGGTCGTGTTTGGAGGTGTATTAAAAAAACTTTATTATGCCGTGATCTCCTTTTGCTAAACGATTTGTTTTGTGCCGTGGGATTCTATCTCCTTTGGGGATCGCGACGAGAGACAGGACGTGGACGTCTTTATCGAGTGCTTAATAAGTGGGTATATAGAAATGGCGTGTTTGAAAGCCAAATTTGTAAGGCTGAGTTAAATCATAATAGATTCGAATAAAATTAATCGCTCTAAATAATTCAATCTGATAAATACTTACAGATGAGTTCACAAAAATAATAGAAGTTACATAGTTCGCAAAGCTTCTAGTTTAGTACGGATGTAATCACTGTACTATTCAAATTTTATATTTTCGCTCGTAAAAGTTCGAGTTTCACACTACTTAACTTTAGTCGCAAAATAACTGCAACTTTGCTAAATACTGTTAGCCCTGTATATAAGATATGTAATAGCTATACAAACTTGAATCCGCGTTCCTTTTTTTTATTCGTACCAATATTTTTCTTAATTACATCAACCAATTAGCTTTTCTAAAGAGCTCCCCAAAACAAATTAGGCATGGCGCACGGTTGCCAAAACTCGAAATAATAAAGCTTCACAAAGTGAGACGTAATTTAATACGTCATTTCAGAAATATTAATATGAATTATGAAATGAGTGTAGTGAAGGCGTGAATGTGTTTGTATGAATTCGGGTGGAGTTACCCTTATGAAGGGCGGAGTCTCCCGAAAACGTAACCGGTCCAATCCTAATGCTCTTCGCGACGAGAACTTCAAAAACTCATAAATCAAACGCTTACTTGAAGAATGACTTCAAAATTGTCAAGGTCTTTTGAGTGCCTAAATTTCGAGTATATAGCTGTGTGAACTGAATACTTCACAGCCCAGTCGTTGACTTTTCATGCAGCATGCGTTGAGTGCTTTTAGCGCTGGAGTAGTAGCATTGAAATAAAATAAATGAGTACAACATAGTACGACGCCCCTGTCGGTTTGAATTTCGAATTGAACGGTATAATTTCTTTGCAGATAGGATATTATACGACGTACCGTGCGTGGTATGCAAGGACCACTCGTCGGGGAAACATTACGGAGTGTTCGCTTGTGACGGATGTGCCGGGTTCTTCAAGCGTTCAGTGAGAAGAGACCGCCAGTACGCGTGCAAAGCGCGGACGCCTGGCGCCTGTCTCGTAGACAAGGCCCATAGAAATCAATGTCGCGCTTGCCGCCTTACTAAGTGCATTAACGCCGGAATGAACAAAGACGGTATGTACTCTCTAACTCTTATGTGTAACACTAGCTGAAATCTGACATATTAGTACTTCTAAAGAATATACATTATTTTCTTACTCCTTGCAAACTTTAAGTGTAAGTATTTTTTTTTATTTTAATAAAAATGATCTTATCACAGTCACGATTGTACTATTTATTCTATTTTAGCCGTGCAACATGAACGAGGACCCCGAAATTCCACAATACGACGACAAATGGCCCTTTATTTCCGGGAACCCACTCCCGATGTGGGACTGTCAACGCCGCCCTTGGATTTGGTGTTATCGAAGCACCAGATAACCCCAGACGTGATGCTGCCGCGCCCTCCTCTACCATTAAGGCCTGTACCAGCTATGCCACTGTACAACCCATACGGCGCCATTTACAGCGGAGTATCATCATGGATTCCAACACCGAGACTTCCCTTGCCTCTGTTACCTTCGCAACCTCTTATACCTTTGCCCATAACCCCGTTAGAGGCTCTTAGCGATGCTGCTGCGAAAATTGTCTTCTTAAACATTAACTGGACCAGATACGTACCCGGCTTTGAAGGCATGCCGCTTTGCGATAAGACTATCCTGATAGAAGAATCGTGGAAGGAACTCTTTGTTCTCGGTCTGGTTCAGTTGATGCAGCCCGTGGATTTGAGAACTATAGTACACCTTCACCAGCCAAATGTCAGTTTGCAATCTGTGGAGGAGCTTCAAATGATTCTTAACGATTTATACAAAATCATACCTGATAACAATGAATATTCTTGCTGGCGGGCGTGTGCGCTGTTTAATGTGAATCACCTAATTGCGCGGCCTACCAGGCATTTTGAAGATTTGCGATTTATCACATCACTCTACAGTTTCTATCTGTTATCCTTGCAACAGGTAATTATATATTTTCTTATCATTATATAGTTATAGTCCCCGAAACAAACAGTAGCATCGTTATCATGTTCTTAAGTTAAAACGCTATTTGCAAATACTTTTTAACTATAATCTTCACCCATCACTGTTGCGGCTCACACGATTCTAATACAACTTTAACTAATGTAGTGCAACCTGTGTGCCAAAGGTGTTTTGTTTTAACGTAAAGTTAAGATCAGATTGGCATGTTTATTTTTCTAGTTCACTATTAATATAAGTAAGGTGGATAAGCATGGACTAGTCGCAAATTGAATGAAATAATTTATTTTTAATTTTCAGTACCACTTACGGATAAGTCCATTGGACATTGGCCGTTCGACGTTTTTCAATGACATCTTGGACAGGATCAAGAGGCTGGAAGCAGGTGTGATCGAGGAGATATTCCTGCGACCAACTGTTGGAAACGTTTGTGTTGAAAAATTGATCTCCGATATGTATACTACTAGAAAGGAGCTCCGCATTTTCTAGACCTTGCTACCTTTTTGGTTTTTGGACCATGACGTACTCTAATAGATGAAAACAATAATATACATAAGCAACGGGTCGGTTGCGCAGTGACAGACAGTAAAATGACTAAGTTTTGACTCTGGAGTGAGTGATTTAAGTAAACCGCTCTTTTTAAATGTATGTGTACCTAACGTTAATGTGTATTAGAAATATATACTTAAATTTAGTATAATTTATCGGAAACATACATTAAGATAATATGAAAAATGTTTTAAGCGAACTGTACATAACACATTATGTATGTAAATAATATAGATTTACACGTAAAAATACTGTATATAGCTACTACTATTTCGATACTTAGCGTGTCTTTTCCTAAACTTGTTTCTGTGTTAGGTTAATTTAATGTAAAAATCACTTCTAACTTTAAATATTGTTTAACGATATATGTAAACAAAATATGTCTCATCTAGTCATTTGCGTATGTAATTTGAAGGAAGCGAAGTAAAATTGTCCTGTCCGGTAAAATTTAAATTAAGCAAGTATCTTTTGCCAACCTAATAGTTTTCGGTGATTAATTAATTAAAATATTTAGCTTATTAAATACTGTCTATAGTTTACGCGAGTAGTACACATTTAAATAAAACACTTTAACGGTTTAAAACGGTATATTAGTTTAACTCATAAAAACAACGCGATATATTAGTTTAACTAACATATCTGGTTTTAAACCGTTAAAGAGTTTTATTTAAATACTTAGCTTATTGTTCATATGATGATCAAAATCGATACAAAATATTATAGGACGATTTTTAATACCTAAGACATATATTGTAGTTTCAGAATTATATGTAGTTATTAACCAATAGTCAATATATTTAATACTTTCCATATTCATTGCTTTAACTCTTACCGCCTCTGTAGCCAAATGGTTAAACGTATTGCCTAGCATTGCGTTAAGCGCGAGAGCTCCTGGGTTCGAATCCCGGGGAAACAAAAAATTGTTTCGGTCGGGCAGGGCATAGAAGTCTGATCAACTACTAATATTGTAAATAAATAATTATATATCAACAACATGTAATCATTTTCGGCGATCAAGTCGCTTTAAATTCCACCGGCGTCCCAACTGTGGGAAATGTAAAGAAAAGTTTTTTTTTTTGATATTCAATATTGCTCAAATATTTCTTAATACGAAAAATGGTTGCCGTAAATTTACTTGTATATAAAATTGTGTGCATGGATCGATTAACGTTGAAAATTCTTTAAAAGTTCAATTATTTAATTTTATGTTAGTGTTTAACAAACACCGCGCTTTGTTGTGTGTTGGGTATGAATTGCGCAGACCTATAGTAATAGCTTGAATGGGACACAAGAAAGAACTTGCGTGTATCCAAGCATGTCTTAGTAGGGAAAACCGGTTTTTTAAACTTCTTTATAGAATTAAAAAATTGTATAGGTATTAATCTGACATGATTCCATAGAGAAATTATAATTATATAGTCGTAAGTTGTCGTGTAAGCAAATTTATATTGTGTAATATATGTCTGCATTAAAAGTACTTGTGTACACACTTACTGTGTGTATTATGTTAGATAAATAAAAATAAAGTCGTCGTTGTGATATTTCGATGTTTCTAAATGTGATAATAGTATGTTATATTTGCTTATGGTGCTTATAGCTTACTGGTATCCGCGAAGTTGGTATTTTGTTTTATTAGACTACGCACATCGTTAACGATCGTATTTAAAAATGCAAAATGTTTACAGGTTTTGTTAATGGAAAGCCTATAATCTATTCTCAAATAATAATTTTGCTCAAGAACTTGTATTATATTTTGCGATAACTTTATCGATATACAATTTTTTTGTAAATATTTATAACAACTGTAATTACAATGTGCTTCTTGCCAGCATTGTTTTAAAACGATTTGTTAATCAATAATTCCGTTCCTGTACATAATGTAAGAAAATGTTAGAAATACATTCCATGAAAATAATTATCACAGTTTTATTGACTCCCTGTTTGCTGTGCGCAAGCGTTCATTTTTACGTCAATGCGTAAAATGTTATCTGTTGACATCAATAAACAAATCCAGGGGCTCATCACATGCTCTGCTCTGACATGTGTGCTTCGTCTATATTGTGTCTAAATCCCCGATTAATCTCCAACTTTTATAAGCTTTTGTTAACCTCCTTTCATCTTTATTTTTTGCATCACCCTTATTTGGAAACAATAAAAGTGCTATGTTCATCGCATTTGCGACTCACTGTTCCAACAATAAGGTAGCTTTTTATATACCATCACGAGTTAGTGAAGTTGTTCGATTTTTTGCCTTAATAACGGCACAACACGATTGACTTCGCAATAAATTCAAGTCAAAGTAGAGCCCGCATTAACTTCAAGTTTAGTCTTTCGGTCACGTCAGTCAATTTTTGTATTGTCATTTTGACATAATAGCGATGCCATCCGCACGGATTTATTGGTTGAAACTCGATGAAACTTCCTCAGCTTTTGAATGGCTTTACTTGTGTCTGTCTCATTTACACATGCGGCTTGTTTTGGGGGAATAAGGGACAGGAGATGGAATTAAAAGTTTGAAAAGCCTACTTATCTAAATATGGCCCGGTTATTGAGTGAATAATATAGTGTAGTATAATAGAACGACAGTCCATTATGAGCATGTCACATTATGGGGTTTGACTACGAAATTATATTAATAATTTATTCGTGCCAAGTTGTATCGTATCTATTTAGCAGAAAAGTTTAACGTATAAAAATAATGTATGCTTTTGTAAAAATACAGCTAGTTTTTATTTTTCAATAAAACACTTCGACGGCCCGACGCGGACGCTTCGGACGCTTTGCAGCAACCCTGGTAACTGGGAGTCGTGACGTCAATAAGTTTGACCAAACCTATCGCGTTTTAAACCGTGAAAATGTTTTAATTAAATGATGTACTATTCGCGTAAACTACAGACAGTATTTAGTTAGTGTTTAAACAGTATGTACCGAATACCTACTGGATACTCACATGTAGTTTTACTATGTTAGGTCTATAAAAGGTAAATAAATGCGAGTTGTATTAATAAAAATTAATATATGCATAACAAAAAACACGACTTTAAAATTAACTACCTATATTATTTAAAAGTTAATAAATAGTTAAAAACCACTGGCAAAAAATATATTTACAAGTCGATAGAATTTCACAGACAAACAACTACATATTAGAATGCACTGTATTCATTCATCCCAGTCTAGTCCTAGTCCAGGTATTACTGAATCGTTTTTTTTTTATTTATCTTGTACACCAAAACCAGTATACAATTTAAAAACAATTATTTTAAACCGTTATGACGGTTTTTATATCGTGCGTACGCGAGTCTGACTAGTTCTTAAGTATTCATTGTCAAGTTGTGAAAACGTATATGCAAATTAAAATCCTAAATTAATAATTTATAAATGTCTAATGTATGTAAAATAAACATTTAGAAAACGTGACATTTTACATGTGCCGCTATCTAGTATTTAATTTTAGCAGCTAGCAGCTCATTATAGGGCTATGTAGTATTTAAAGCTTAGTAGATAATAGCGCTTTTGCAAATTTAGTTATTCGTTAATTGTGATCATGTAAATAGGAGCCAATTTTCGAGTTATTCTTACTAATATTGTCATCTAGTACATAACTCTAGCAGCTCTATATAGAGCTACGTAGTACTTACGCCTTAGTCGAGATGACGCTTTTGCAAATTTAGTTATTCGTCAATCGTGATCATGTAAATAGGAGCCAATTTTCGAGTTATTCTTACTAATATTGTCATCTAGTACATAACTCTAGCAGCTCTATATAGAGCTAGTAGATTTAGTAGTACTTACGCCTTAGTCGAGATGACGCTTTTGCAAATTTAGTTATTCGTCAATCATGATTCATAAAAGTAGGTTTTATATATTTTGTTTTATGTATATATGAGACAGTTCCATTCATTTATATAAGTCAGTATTTTATAATCTACCAGTTTTGTTAAAATTTTCTTTAATTAAAGCCAATTAATAATACTTTGTAAATTTAGCGCACTGCTGCAGTTTTTACTGTCTATGTGTGCGTCGATGTACAGTTTCCTACATTAAGTACGAGTGTGTCACACATAGAATTAAGTCCGCATCCGCAAGTGGCAACTGAAGGCGGCTGTCAACGAGCCTCCAACGAAACGAGTGGAATTCGCTAAAATGATTTTTGCTATCTTCTTCCGTAGTTAAATTAAAGTTATGTATGCCCATACGCGTTGGTACATCAAAAAATTCACGCGTTTCCCCAAAAGTAACATTTTAAGCATTTACGCTGGCTACAGACACCATGGTGCAGTGTCGTCCACCGTTGGAGTTGGAAGAATTGCCAAAAGAAGACGAAGAAAGGCTGGAGAAATTGTTCTCTAAACTAGACGCTGATGGAAATGGGAAGATCGATATACACGATCTATCCGTCGCCCTCAAAGAACTGGCTCCACACATAAATCGGAGTTACGCAGAGGTTAGACATGGTTTCACTAAACGGTACTTTGCTCATCCTAACGTTACTGTATGCACCGTAATTCAAATTTGGAATACGAAATTCTTTTGATATTATAGTAATGGCACGTAGGTTTACTTCCCTTCCACACAGACAAATTACATGTTATTAATGCCATTATTTTTAATCACATGCATGTTAATTCATTTCTTCTTTATGACCATGATACAGTTATTTTTGGATAATAATGCCACAGTTTCCATATCATTTGAAATTTCATACAATTAAGGCTTAACACAAGGCTGAACCCCTTTTTTATTTCACCTGAAGAGAAAACTTGCTTGAAATTGGTTACAGAATTTTCGGTATTATTTTTAGTCACATGCATGTTAATTCATTTCTTCTTTATACCATGAAAAGTTATTTTTGGATAATAATGCCACAGTTTCCAATCATTTGAAATTTCATACAATTAAGGCTTAACACAAAGCTGACCCCTTTTTTATTTCACGTAGAGAAAACTTGCTTGAAATTGGTTACAGAATTTTCCGTACACTGAGCAATTTTAACAGACTATTTATTATTTCTTTGAGGTTGAAATCTTGGACCTGCAATGCTTTATGCAATGCATTTTAATATTCAAATGGATGAGGTGATGCATCATAAAGCACTACTAAATTGTATTCTTAATCAGAGTAAACAATACTATTTTTACTGTATTTTATGGGAAATTGAATTGAAGAGTGTGTGATCATTTGTCTAAATGAACCACTGCCATCCCCTGTTACTATCTGTTTCACCATTTCATCTTTAATTTTAAAGAGAAAGGTATGGTTCTCGAAATTGTACTTTACCAAGGGTAAAATTGTAAAATGATTTTATACATTACATTCAAATCATTCATGCTGAGGTATGATACAAAATATTATATATATTTTAACTATACGCACTATCATATTAGCTAATATTTTAAATTTTGTAAAGGATACTAATATCTAGTGCAGCCTTAATTGTTTTGCCCTTATATAGAGATTATGTTGACCCTAAATGAAATTATACTAATTTGGAACACACATTTGTTATATACTTGTATACATATTGCTACTGCCATGCTACATAGATATGTAAATACTAGTATAATACATTTCTATTATTATATTTTATAACTACAATATATATAGAAAAATGCACCTCAATTTCAACAACATACTATTAATTTCTTATATTACATAACATCACTCCATTTACAGAAATTTTTGGCAACAACAGGCAAAGATGCGGGAGATGTCACCCTCTCAGAATTTATTCACTATGTTCGCGAACATGAAAAGAATCTTAAACTACAATTCTCACACCTCGATAAGAACAAAGATGGTTTGTATCCAACTATCATTTATTTTTAAGAAGTTATTATGGTAAATCTGTAATATGTTGAAATCTAAAGGCTGCATTTGAATCAATGGCTGATATTTGATTTTTAGTACTATGTGCACTTATGAAAGTTACATGAACTTGTAGAGAAGATGTTCAAACTTTCCTATTTTGTTATAAAGGTCTTCCGTTCCTTTTAAAGTTCTCCTGTCAATTTCGTTAGCCACATAGTTGGGTAAACCAAACGCTATAAGATCAATAAGTGTCCCAGTATCCACTGTTTTCCTGACTTCCAATAATAATTTTTCCTTCTTTATAGCATACTCAAGTAAGGAACCAGCTTGATATTTAAAGCCAAGAGCATACCTAGTGGATGACCATCCTTTATTGGCAAAGGTCTCACAGAAGTTGTTCTCCCATTGTTTCCATTCTGATTCAATTGTAAGCTTAATTAACATGCAACTGTACCAATCTATGCTAGAGTTCTCTAAAAAGTTTTTTAAAATTTCAATTTTCTTTTTATCTTCCTTGACTTGGAAACGTTCACATTCCTTATTGAAATCCTTGATCCACTGGGATGCATTTGAATTACGACCATTGAATTTTTCAATAATAAAATCCTTTGCAATTTTTCCTAAATTTTGCTTTACAGGTATTTGTTCTTTTTCTTCAAGTAATTTCTCTAACAGTTTTTCTAATTTTTGATTTGAACCTAGCGGTTTAGGTTCAACGCTACTGGGCTGAGCTGAAATCTCTTCCAAATAAAAATCCTGAAATTGTAAATTTTCTTCTTCGTCCAAATATGTTTTTGAAATTTCCTCGGTCAATCGATATTCTTCTTGTTTGATTCCTTTTTATTAAGGATTTTTTTACCTTGGTGTAGTTGGGTGTAGCTGTTATTACTCCATGAAGATTGCAGGTTGATAGTCGGCTGGCATTTCAAAAACTTGTCCATTTGGTGTAGCAATTGAGGTTATACAAATAAGGTTGGTTTTTCCATCCGTTGTTGATTTCACGGTGAAATAAAACCGTAACCTCTCCATTTTCTTGGAATATTAGCAAAAATGTAGTTTTATAATGACTTTTATAGGTTTTATTATGAAAAGACGTAATTGCGTTTCTCTGAAAATAAAGATATTTTATTAACAACTATTCACTAAAGGTTTTTTTTTTATAGTATATTTACATTATTTAATATGAAATAATATTCACCTGAAAATAAAGAAACTACATTTAATGCCTTTTCTTTAGGTTTAAATGAATATTGTATCCATATGTAAAAAAGCCATCCGCCGCCAGATGCCAGACGTCATCTATTGACACTGCGCTGTCAGACATTTATTATTTTACCATTATACAATAAAAACCTCTATGGCTAACGCGGCAAATTTAACCTGAAGGAAAACCACTCCACCACCACGACAGGGCAGTGGTTTTTCTTTACATATTCATAAACAATTTTTTTTATGCTTGAGTTTTACATTAAACCTCAAGAAGATATCATCCTAAAGAAGATATCAGAAGGGAATTTTCACTTAAATGCCTTACTATTAAAGGTTCTTTTTATCTTGCAGGAAAAGTTGATCTGGAAGAGCTTATCTCAGCGTTCGCTGATTTGGGTATTGCAATAGGACGTAATGAAGCAACAAATTTGTTGAAACGGTAAGGACTACGTTATGGTATAGTTTAAAATCTCTTCGCTGATCATTCATATACTGTTGAAGTCTTCTCGATAGGCTTGCATGCATTTAATATAGCAGTATAAGGCAATGATCTGTGTACACTAGTTCCCAGTCATACCTTCATAGTTCAAATTAGGATTGCCTAGTAGATCATTTATTCAAAATAGAACTAAAATGTTTCAGAAGAGCTGTTTGGCCAAAATTAAAGTGGTAAGTGTATGTAGCCAGCTTTGCCCACAAAGCGAGCAAAAACTCACCAAAATAGGTTTGGAGATATTCGTTTTGTCGTACTATTAACAAAACAATATCAGAATAAACTAAACTTCTATTCAATGACTGTTGTTCGTGTGAGATCTAACTACTTAAAAACCGTCTGTGTTACTGTCCGATGATGTTCTATGTTATGTAATAGTCATTGTTTACCACAATGTTTCAAATAACATGTAGCAGCAAAGCATTGCAATAGATTTCACATAGAAATTAGATTATACTACTTAGCGTTGATAAGCGTTAGTGGGATACACATTTGTGATAGCTGGCTTATGCATGTTACATGAGATTGCAAATAACTTAGTTTCATGAATGTCAATCATTGTATATAACTAGTCACATCTCAACTGTGATGTCATGTACCAAATCTTATAACCAATTTACTGTTACCAATTAACTATTCCGGAATCTATATCTTCGTCTTGTACTGTCATTTACAGTATTACGTCCTTAAAATATTTAGTAGAAATTAAACGCATTATAGTAGAAAATATAAATCTTCGTTTACAGAAGAGTGCCATTGGCATTTGTCCAATTTTTAAGAGTATATGGGTATTGAGGAATCTGCACTTTTGGTGTCTGTAATATCTTCTCATACCCGCTTTAAGTAATTTAATGACATTATTATGATTTTATCGCCTTTAAACGACACTTTCTAATTTTTCAAGGCCCGTTTTTATTTGAAATTAACTCAGTTGATAAATAATATATGTAATAGTAAATCACAGGTTACAAATATAGATAAAATAGGCAAAAGAACAGGCGCCGGTGTTTGTGTGTGTTTTCATCAACAACCTATACTCATTATAAATAATATATTATATTACTATTTAATCCTATATAAAAATTAGTTACTGTTTATGTATTAGATGGCGAATAAAATTAGTTATCTTTATTTAAAAAGCTTATAAAATGTTTATTGTTCTAGGATGGATCAAGATGGCAGCTTGAACATAAGTTATGACGAATGGCGAGACTACTTACTATTGGCTCCGGCAACGGATATACACGCCCTCATTAGCTTTTGGAGGCATTCAACTGTGAGTAAATTTTACTTTTTATATAATTTTTATATGTTTGTCTTTAGGTCACTTGTAAGGTACCTACAAGGTTGAGTGCAAATGATATTTAAATCGCGATGAGCCAATGTATTACTTTTTTTACTGGGGCAAATGCTTTATACCATTTTTGGTATATCGTCGCTTTCGGCTTATGTATATTTCTTTATATTATTGTTAGTAAAATGTGTTGAATTGTCCGAATTAATAAAGCAATTGAATTTACATGTATAGAATTTAAATGAGCCCTAAATATCACCTATAATTTTGTATATAAAAATGAAGTCAGAATTAACAAAAAAGATTTATCACACTTATATCGAGATTTTGTTACATGAAGAATTCTAACACTCCTGTTAATTTTGTATAAACTAATTTATGAAACATAAATATCTGTTGCTGTCTCGTTCTCTTTGTTTCTTCGTTCTACTTACTAATTTTGGTGTATACACTTACAAATCCAACTAGACCTTGTATATCTCACGTTTATAGGCTGGCTGATCTCGAAGTTACCTCACAGTCTTCAATTACAATATCATGGAAGTACACTTATCATCTGTTATTACATAACTCATAGTTACATAAATATTTAGCATAACTTAGATGAAGTGTATCAACAGCAGATTACAATAATTTATTATGTTTTACAGCGCAGTAATGTTACTTACTAATGTGTTCTTCCGTTTTAATCGCGTAAGCTTTACGTCATGTAATCTTTTAATGAGAGCCATATTGGTCCAGTGGAAGGGACATCGGAGTCAGTTTTTTTTTCCAGTATGTGAGGTCGGTAGGCCGATGGTTGAAACCGAAAAATACTATATATTTGTGCCTATGATATATTCTCTCCATTCTTTAGATGAATCTACCAATAGGCAGAAACCCTCTTACCTTGTAACTTTAACTAACCCCATAGCTGATGAGAAACTATTGCTTTTTCAAGAAAAATAACTTAATCCCTAGATGGTTAGATTTAATGCATACCTTAGTTTGGTTTCCATTATATGTAAACTGCAAGATTGTGTAGGCTTAGCAGTTTCTAAGAAGTATATCAGTCAAGGACATGAAAACGAGTATTATTAGACACTCTCATAATACTTGCGGGCTATTGCTAACCTACCAACAAAGTGGAGGTTCTATTTTTAAACGCAGTTATCCATATAAAATGACATTACAACATATTATTGTTGTAATAAGATTACTGAAACCTTAAAAGTACGTGACCTAGACATTGTTAGATATATACATTACAAAACAGTGTAAGAGATTTCATAGTATTTGTACAACTATACACGTATATACAATTCAAGCGTTTGTTTGTAATGGCAAACAACAATATTTGACAACTGCACGCTACGCTGATGGTGGAATGTTGGAATGTCCACCTGTTTCAAACATGTTCCCAATGTAATATGACTTTTAAAATAATTTAAATTCCTAAGATAATTTTTCTTTTTGTTTTTAATTGCTAATTACAACAGAAATGTTTTTCATCCGGCTAATCTCTGTAATGGTTGAATTGTTTTTGATGGGTCAATATTTGCGGAACTGATGCACAACTCTCATCAGATCTTTTTGTATTTAGAAAAGATTAAATAAAATTAAAATCATATAGCACTACTATCGGGGTCATTGTCTTGTAAATTTTTGTTCTTTCTCTTGACAAATATTAGTAAATAACTAGGTCTTTTTAATAAGAGAATTGTATTTACATACTACCTATATTTTAAAAACATTTTTAGACAGCACGAAATACGGAATGGATCAACTATGTATTTCTTTATCTTAGAGTATCAATCACGATTTGTATCGTGGAATGTGCATTCGAAGACAGATGGAAATGTTAAAGAGTATCAAAATATTAAGAAGATTGATTTATTTGTAGATTTACACGTGACAATATTTTTTGGTCTGATACAATTTAGTTGATCTTGAAAGTTCTCCAAGATAACACTCAAATCATTCACACCCATTGTGGAGATAATAACATAACCTGACCTCCTTCAGGGATCACGCTATCTTTTAATATAGGGCTGCAACACATGTATTCACGTAGGTAGTAACATACAAAGATCAAGTCAAGGTGGTGCATCGATTACTGGGATCGAGATAAATTTACATTTTGACATAAATAAGAAATGTAGTACTGGTAAATGAAAAAAAGTGTTTGTTTGTCAATCAGTAGAGCAGTGGCGTTACGAATTCGATCAACAAAAAGGAATGTTTGAATTCCGACTGTGTAATTTTTTTACATATATACAAGTAATATAAATGCCCAATTTCTTTGACTGTTTGATATTTTTTCTTATCTTTGCGGTAAGACTCATATATATATATAATATTGCCATACCTATATTTATTGAACAATAACATCACGCCATCCTGGTGTAGGAATAATTGTTATTCTATTGTGTCTTAAATTATAAATCATTTCGAAATCTAATATGGTTGGTCAATTGTCAATAAAGTTAATAAAACTATCGTTATAAGTGGATGGGGAGAACCGCACAACCGAAGTTTTAATGTATTTTACGATTAATGAGTTTGAATGCTTATCTCAATAAAATTGTAGGGTTTGAGTTTCATACACCCCGCATCGTTCTAACAAATACTTAGACACCTTGCCGTTAAAATCGGCTAAATATTTTTAGTGTTAAAGTCGAACACACACTTAATCTGACCAACCATTTTTGATGAGTTTTAGCTTTAGGTGGTTGTCAATTCGATTAGTGTATACGCTTTACTAACACTTGTGATAACCCTGGCCTGATGGCTCGTAACTCAGTAATTGAATCATCCATTAAAATGGCGGGCTCGACTGTAGGCGTTGTCATGTACGTAGTTCGTTCGCGACCTATACGTCATTGGAATCCGCCTGTGACGGGTTCAGACTGATTTTAGTATATAGGTGTTTTGGATCGACTAAATTGCGGTATAAAATTTTATACGGTACATCATCCGAATCCAGGGCCTTTCGAGATAAACTCTTAATCCATTTATATTATTTTATACCTGTTATTAAAAAATAAAAGTTAGCATCAAATTATAACTAGCATATCATTGTTTTTCGGGCTGTTCGGCGGACGTAAGCGAGAAGAGGATCTCGAGGTTTTAAGATAATACGATTATGATAATATATTATATAATTCTTCGAGCAATTGAGGAGTTAATCTCTCGTGGAGAATCTCTTTTTAATCACTTCGGCCGAACAGCCCGAAAAACAATGATATGCTGAACGCTGGCCGTGAAAGCCGTACACAATTTTTATTAAACTAGCTGATCCGTCGGACGATGTCATTTGCAAGAATAATATTATGATGTTGATACAACTCTAACAAATAATTGATAATAGATTAATTTCGACCAAAAGATTATCATAAAAGTAGTTCTTGTATTCCGCGGATCATAGCCTGGAGAGAAATTCATATTTCCTACAATGCGTTCAATTTTTAGATTTTACAGATAACGTAAAAAATGTAGATAATACATTTTAGTATCTAATTGATAATACTATGGAACAATAATGATTGCCTTACGATAAAGATTTTGGATATGAATTCTAGGGGAAATAGATACGTTTGGGCGGGGCCTAAGTATCTGATCAAATAAAATCGTGTAAAAAAATCATAACTTTACTTATACCAACACAAAAATATGGTACAAACGCAGAAAACATTAAACCTAATTTTAAACTATGTGATTCTTTTCATAAGTGACCATTATTCTCGTCAAGACTTGAAATGTTAATAAGTACTTTCGCTTCTATTTACTTAACAAGCGTCACGCGTTACGTTATTTCTTTAACCAATTCTCGATTTCTCTTTTATACGTGGCTTTTTCCATAATAATCTTTAAAACTATCTATAACTGTAAAAATCATGTTTATGTATCACTTTACTACATATCTACGTGTTATGTGTTTGAGGAATTATTGGGTTGACCGTCTTTCTAATTGTCAAAGTCTTTGTAATACCAATATTGGCCAAAAAGAGAAATGCTCATTTCCGGCCACACGTAGACTAAAAATATATAACTTGAGACATGTAATGTATAATTTGAAATATTATTGCAACTATATGCCTTTGAGAATACGGTCGGTTATCGCCACTGATTATTGTCAGTATTCGTTAGGCCCACCACCCTGCAATGGAGCAGTGTGGTAGGTCTAAGCGCTTCAAGCTCTCATGCTAAAAAAATATTTATTAGGTTGAAACGACGTAAATATGCTTACAAATTTAAATGATGTAATTAATTACAATTATTGCTAAATACAAATTATGAATATTTCTTTAATAAGTCAAATGTCAATAAAAATTCGAAGAAAACTTAACGAGACTTCTATTTAATGTTTATTACTATAAAGATTTTCATAATAAAGTTAAGAAACATATAGATCTAGATTACCTAGATCTGTAAACGATTGGTCCATGTTCGGTACTGTAACATTTTGTTTATCTAATACGATCTAGTATAATTAGAAGAATAATATAACGAAATCATTACGTGAGTTCACTCGAATGTCTCATGTCACAGTATGTGATTGTATTCGGAAATGTAGGTTGGTTACTTTCCACTCGCATACCTTAAACATCTTGTAGAGTCCAATAGTCTTCCTCATATATGCATGACGTCTCGATTTAATCTTATTCAAACTAGATTCAAACATATCACTTTCGTTTATCTAGCAATATTACGATCAGTTGTTTATATTAAACGTACGAATTACGTAGTACGAATGCTAACTAACTTAATTCGGTTCAAAATTTATAGAAATATTACTATTTATGTTGTTCAGGACTTGAATTGGTATCCACAGCGTGCCGTGCTGCTGCTCGTGTGGTTTTCTTTGGAAATTAGGAAACCAAAATAGGTCGGAGGCGCAACGTGTTAGATGTTATATGGCTGGGGTATTTCACTTTCTATCACGGCGGTCCAAGCCGAGGCCGATGCCCCCCCTCGGGGCACCCTTGGTCTAGCCGCAAACA